AAAGTCAGTTGTAGCTTTGAAACTTTTTAAGAGTTTTGACAAATCTGAAGTATTTTTTAATATTTGAAGGATTCAAATAATTATTTGGTCATTTGAGAGAAGCTGTTTACATCACCGATTCTCACAAGCCTATAGATACAATTCTTAGGCTTTGAATAATTTAAGAAACCTCGTTATACAATCCAGGCCCTAATCCTCCCAGGTATTATCTGCAGTGGGGCTTGTTTCCCATCTTATATTAAAAAAGAAAAAAACAACACACACACACACACACACACACACACACACACACACACAGACTTAGGTAATTAATCAAGCTGCCGTGGTAATACTGGTGGTGACAGTCTCCAGACAAAATGCAGATCTTTCAGGTTTATGTTGGGATTTCTACTTATCTAATTTCTCCTTTTATGTACTATTTATGTGTATGTCTACATGAGTGTGAACTAAATTTACTTTTATTTGGATCAAATGTTAGTATTTATAGCACCACCATTTAATCTATATGAAATTGGAATAATTGATGATTTTTTAATTTTTAAAAATTTATACTTCTCTGAGATAATACAACGTTTTGGGTTAAAATATTTCCCCTAATCTGTGGTTTTGCTTTCTGCAATTTCAGTTATTCATGATCAGCTATGATCAAAAAATACTAAGCAGAAAATTCCAGAAATAAACAGTTCATACACTTTTAAATTGTGTGCCATTCTGAGTAGCATAATGAAATATTACACTATCCTGTTTCATCCCAACTGAAGTATGAATCATCTCATCATCTCTGCAAAGCGTATATACACTGTATACATTACCCACCTATTAAGCATTTAGATTACCTTGGTTATCAACTCAGCTGTTGTTGTATCACATTCCTTGTGTTCTCGAAACCCTTATTTTACTTAATAAAGGCCCAAAGCACAGGAGTAACGAATGATGCTTCGAGTTCAGATTTCCCAAAGAGAAGCAATAAAATGTTTCTTTTTAGTGAAAAGGTAAAAGTCATCAACTTAATAAGGAAAGAAAAATATTTGTATGCAGAGGTTGCTTAGATCCATACTAAGTTTTCGTCAACCTCTGACAGTTCCTAACCCTATAAATTAAACTTTACTATAGATAGGTGTGCATAGGAAAGTACCAAGTGATAGTGAAATATATAATATATAGTTCTATTTTAGATTGTAGATTCTATTAGACATTAGAAGTACCAGTTACTTGGTGTAAGATATTATATAGAAAGTTGTTTAAAATATTTGAGAATCTTTAACATTTGCAATGTAGTACTTCTTTAGTTTTCATTCTATTTTAGAAAGCATAGGCTTTGCTTAATTACAATGAATTCTGTTGAAACAGTTATATAAATCGGGGTCAATATCTGTCATAAATATAAGTAGCACAAAAACGAAAAAAGTGAATGATTTTTTGAGGACTTCTGCGTTGGATATTGTACATACATACTGTCTTAAATCTTCACAATGCCCCATTAGATAAATTGATATCATACATTTTAAATTAAGCCTCAAGAAGATTTTGCCAGGGACTTCTTAGATTTAAAAAAAGTCGTGATTGACAACTGGTGGATTAGAACGGTGTTTAGTCTTGTGAGTAATTGGTATAGTGACATAGTTTATGAAATCGTGTGTGTCTTCTCACCCCCATCTTTTTGTTGCTACTATTCTTGATGTTATGTGTTGTTTCCAGTCTTTTGTCACCAGGCTTATCACTGATAGCACAAACATATAAATACTTAATGATACAAAATATAGGGATTGGCCTTTGCAATTGTAAAAGTCCTTTGAATATCAGCATTTTTAGTAACTAAAAACTGATTATTGAACAAAGTTTTTATCTATTTTTTTTGTTTTGTTGAGAGAGGGTCTCACTATGTAGTCCAGGCTGGCATCAAACTTGCAGTGACCCTCCTGCCTCACTCAGCCTGCCAAGTGCTGGCATTACAAGCATGCACCACCATGCCCATCTCTAAGAAGAGATTTTAAGGAGCTTTAACCATTTTTCTCTTTGTCATACTATTACTAAGATTTGACTACTGTCAGCTATCTGTTACCTTTCTTTTTGTCTAGTTAAAAGCAGATATTCAAGGCAAATTCTTACCCATATGCAGGTTTATCTGTGTATCTGTATATGTGAGTTTTAATCTCATGATTTTTTCTGCCTTTTTGAGGACCATGCAGAGTTCCACTTAGCCCTTTTATTCTGAGCAAATGTTCCAACCACTTCTTCTTCAAAGTGTTCATACTCTTGGATAATGTATTTGAAAGAAAAACATTGCCAAATCAAGGAATTATTTTTTAGTACACTGTCGATGTACTGCAGCCCATCAAAGGAGTATTTTTTCTTCCCTTTGCGTTATGCTTCCTGCCATATACAAACTGTTTTGAGGGAGAAGAGCACCTTAGTTGATAAATCTGTTTTTTGAATTGTTTTGTGGCAAGTTAGGTTTTGGGGGGAAAATAGTTTCTGACTAAAAGTTTGAAAGGTGTGGTTATATAAATGACATAGAGAAGTTTATGATTCATTTCTATTATAAACCACATTCACTCAAAATGACTTTGTAGGGCCAGGGATTTAGCGTAGTGGCACCATGCTTGCCTTGCAAGTGCAAGGTCCTGAATTCGATACTTGGCACCGCAAAATGAATTTGTAGTTTAAAGTATGTAAATGATATGCTTGCTGCAATGTTTATTTCAGAATAAAATTTCTTCACACTCTGTAAGATATTCAAGGTGCAAAAGAAGACCGTGGTATGTGTAGGGGGGAATCAGTGCAATACAAGTTTGTAATTCCAGCACTCTGCAAAGCAGAGGGGTGGGGATTGCAACTACCAGCCTAGCCAGTGAAATTTAGTTATTTAGTGAGACTTGTTTTAAAATAAAAAAGGCCTGTGGATATAACTTAGTGCAAAGGCCATGGCTTTAATCTCCAGTGTATGTGTGTGGGGGGTTATTCTTTAAAAAAGCGTGGTTTTTGATACTTTATTTTAAATCCTGGATATGGGTTTTTACCATCTTCAGTGTAAATGGATAACATTTTCAGTCAATTTTGAATTTCATACTGGGCCTGATTTGGCGAATCTTTGTCCTATGCCTGGCCTTTGTGAATGTTATAAGGAAAGTAAATGAAGCAGTGACTACCTTGTATCCTTTTATTTCTTCCTTTCCATAAAAGAGTACATTAATTTCTTTATGAGAGTCTTTGATCATTCTGCTTTGAAATGAGTATTGTGAAGTGCAAAGAGAAATAGCAAGCTTTTTTTCTTCTTCTTCAGAATCTCATAGTCCTAGGGTTCTAAGAATTCCATGGCCACATTCAGTCTTCCCTCTGTTGATCCCACCCAGTTCCTGTTAATAGCCAAAGGCGCATTACAAAATATGAAGAAAAGAATTGAGAAGAACTATAGTTGGAGAAATACAGAACCTCATACCTCTTTTTCTTGATTATTATACCATGGAATAATTAACAGTTTCTCACTCTTCCTTTAAGAAATTATTGTCAGATCATTTTGGGTCAAGACTGTAATCTAGGACCAGGAACTGCTAAAGATTTAAGATTTGGAAACGTGGAAACTCAGTAGTTTACGGCAGCAAAAGAAATAAGAAGCACATAGAGTACTCTGTAACAGCTGGCCTGACACGACCCAGCGTAATCTAATCCTCCCCACCCAACTTCACTGATGAACTTTGACTTGAGGCGCAGTGTGATAGCTGAGTACTCTTAGATGTATGCTTCTTTTCCATTAGAAATAGATATTTTACTGGGAATGGAGAAATTAGCTGATCGAGAGTCACTTGTTGAATATTTTGCTATCTAGCTTTTGCAGGAAGAACCATCTGACCTTTCTTTTCTGGCCAACTGTAACATAGCCATTCACCCACCCTTTATGTTAGGGTTAACTTAGGAATTCGTTTTCTATATCTGCTCATACATACAGCGTGAATACCACTATCTTCCTTAAAATTTAGTCACTTCTTGTCTGGTTCTTGCTTTTGCTTGCCGACATAGACCTATACCTTTTTCTAATTAATAAACATGGTTCTGAGATCAAGAATTGGGTGAAGACATGCCCTCTGAGCTTGCCTTTCTTTCATCAAGTCATCTCAAGGCTCATCTGCAGTTTGTACAGCCCTCATCTCCTCTGCACACTCCAGATACCGAGTCCTTTGTAGTTCTGAATGGTGCCCTATTTCCTTGCCCATTTCCCTTACTTCTACTTTGTAACTGTGCCAAATGACAATAGACCAAGACTATTAAATTTAAGAGTACTTCCTAATCCCTCAGAGTCATACACACATCCGTCAAGTACTTCAAATCATCATTTTAGTGCCAATAGCCTAAGAGCCACTCAGAGCTGTAAACATACATTTCTTCTCTTCCATCAGTTCTTGCTTCCTGTCTCCCTCCACACCCCTCCTCTTACATGGTTTATTCTCTCCCCTTTTTCCCATCTTTTAACTCTCAAGTCTTAAGTCTACTTGATTGATAGGAAGACCAATACTTTTTTTTTAGTTTTCATGAAAAAAGAATCTGAGTTTTTCTTTCTTGTTTGTAGCCATAATCTGAACTTCCCTTTTTCTGAATATGAGAAAGCTTTTTTAGACTTACTTACCCCACCCACACCTCTCCCTACACAAACACATAGATAATGTATATACACTTACTTCACAGTCAGTGAAAGAGCCTGGCTAATATGGAAATAAAGAGTTATCTACTTTAAACTTTAATACATAGAGGGAAAATACTAAAATAGTTTAAACTGTAAAGTTCTTCAACATCAGTGAGTTTAACACAGCTGCAGGGATAACTTGACAAAAGGACATGTTCAGCCAGATGGCCTGTGCTGGCCTCTTTCCCATTCTTGGGAAAGATATGTTATTCACTCCCAGGGTAGCTCAGGGAAAGAGCTGATTATGGAATTAAAACAACCAGTGTCCAATTAACCCCTGTTTTGGTCAATGTTTCCCACACAGTTTGGATAATTGGCATACTTTAGTTCCATCAAGGGAAGCAGCTGGTTTGTTGGTTAGTGCAGGCCCCTGGGAATAAGAAATACGAAGTTTGATTGTCAGCTTTGCCCCTACAAACTCTTGAGTATGACCTTGGACATCGTATTTACCTCTTTGTACTTCAGCTTTCCTCATTTGGAAATCGAAGATACATGTTGCTCTCTAACTATACCTGAGGTGAAGTTACTATAGGAAAAGTGAGAAAAAAGACCACTGGTGTTGGCAGAGTTCTTTCAGACCTTGGATGAAGGGTGCAGTTTATCTTACATATTATTAGTAAAGTACAGTATCTTAGCAATGGTGTCACTGTGTGTCACAGAAGTCCCTCTACTAAGCCCAGATACAGGGTATTTCATAGGTGTATACAGCTGACTCTTCAGGAACCCAGTGACAAGATTGCTTTCCACCTCCTTGAAACTCGAAGATCATTCACCAGTTCTCTGCTACTCTTTTCTCTCCCATTTTGTCTTTCTCATCAGTGCTCCTCTGTGCCTATTCTATCCTTTTCTCTCACTATAGTGACTCCTCTATACTCTCTGTGAAATGTGGCCTCTTTAAAGCCACCTTTAAAGAACCTTCTGACTTATTCTGAATTCTAGATCCTAGGAAAGGAAATGATTGGTCCATTTTAGTCAGCTTCTCAGTATTGGTCATTTCTCTTGAGGCTGTGGTCAGGGAGAAGTTTAAGAGAAAGGTCTAGGGAAGAAAGACATAATAAGCATTCTATGATGTTTTGTTTTGTTTTGTTTTGTTTTGTTTTTGAGACAGCATCTTATATGTAGACCTGGCCTTGAATTCGATGTGTAGGCATATTCTGGCTTTAAACTTGCCATCCTTCTGCTTTGACCTCCCAAGTGGTGGGATTCCAGTCAAGCATCAACCCACACAGCTGCAGACATCTTTTGTACATGAAATTGCTCTTTGCTTTAAGTAAACCTGTCTTACAATATTATAAAATTAAAGAATTAGCTAAGTTAAATTATTTTACTAGCCAGTTTTTAAAACTTGTTATCCATATACGTGTGTGTGTGATGCTAAAACTCAGTGGACAATTTTCAGTTCCTCTAAAATATCAGGCATGGTACTACAAAGACAAATACTTCTGTCCATCAAGGAACTTTATAAGGAGTGACAAACAATTTTTGTTTTTTTAATTGAGAAAAGTTTTCTGGTCTGGTGCTATGTCAATAAAGAGCAGAGTCATTAATATTCATTAAGTGCATAGAAAATGCTAGGTATTATACTAGGTGTTTTATATGTACATTTAATTTAATGTAATAGATTTATGAGATTGATACTATTATTCCTCTTTTACAACTAAAGAAACTAAACCTTAGAATGGAAAAGTAAATCAACCAAAGTCACCCACTGCTAAATTGCAGAGTCAGGAATCCACATACTGTTCCCATAACTACTGTACTCTGTAGCCCTTCTTATAAAAACAGGAGACTTAAAGTAGCAGAGACAAGATTTAGAGTAGGACAAGTAACCCAGAATTTTCAGACTACCACAAAAGTATTTGATTTATCAGATGTTTTCAAGTTTCTATTTTTTTTGTCTGTGACAATTTGATAGTGTAATAAAGGATGGAATTCAAAAGACCTTGATTTGGTTTTAGATCAGCTACTGGACAATTAACCAATCACGATGTGTTCTGAACTTTAGTGCCCTTGCTTGGTAAAATATGAATGAAAATAACACATTAACTACCCCATGAGGAAAATCAAAGAAAACACATCCATATATTTCACTTGAGGTGGTGGTGATACAGCGTAAAGCACCTATGAAAAGGTAGAGCATTTTCAGTGTACAGTACACTTAGTAGTCAGCAGTCTGTGTCGGAGAGCTCCCAGGAGGTTTTGCACAATTCTTGGCCAGTCAAGAATTTGTAATTTGCATCACCCACCACACTCTGGCACCCAGAAATGTTTGTCTTCCTTTGTTCTTTGCTAGGCTCCTGTCAATGGAGAATTTTAATGATCTTATCTAGAACTTAACAAAGTGAGAGAGCTGGTCAGTGGAACATGACACCTATTTTTTAATGTTGGAAAGATAATTGAGGGATTAGCCTTTTCTATGGCCCCAAAAGGACCAATGATCAGCCATAAAGAGACATAATAGCTCTTTGCAGAGAATAATTATATATTGTTATAGTTGTACAAATATAGAACAAGTTCTCTGAACAAGGGATAACCCTTTTAGGTCCCTATCCTGTACTTAATAATCATAATCATGTGTGAGCTTGGGCACACTTACTCAGCATGATGGCTGTATGAAATAGATACTAGTTTTGTGCATTTATAATTAATAAAAGTTTCAAGAGTGGCTGACCTGCCTAAGTGGCTGACCTGCCTGTTTGCCTAAGGTCAAACAGTTCCTAAATGAAAGAGCCAGAAATTAAACCTGGAGCCACTTTATTCCAAAAGGTACCACCATGGAAAATAGTCACTAGAGATTTTCAGAAAGAAACTAGGCTATCAGAGTTAGCAAATAGGTTATGAAGGGGATTAAGTGTCAAAAGGGATGATTGGTTAGCCAGATGACCTTTCAGCTCTTTTGTAACCTTTAAATTCTCTGCTTCTGTTATGTTTGGATAATTGCTTTGTAAATCATACTGTTACAAAAATGTTAGCTGGTGATAGAATCAGAGGAAAATTAATAAAAATTAGCTGTTCTTCCACTTCTATAAAAGTTCCTTAAACGTGTATAGCCAGTTTTATGGAAGACAGGATGTTTGTCTGATTAGCTTTAAAAAGGAGTCATTAGTCCAAGTGGATAAGGTATTTGCCAAAAATATACTCCATTTTATAATGATAGTTAAGGTAATATGATTTGACTGAAATATCTTTAAAACAAATACCTAAATAGCTTTTGGAATACAAAGATATTTTTGTTTTGTTTTTAATATATATTAAAGAGTGTCTTATTGTACATTGTAGAAAACTGGGTTTTCTAAGTCTTATGTGTCCATTTCCAAATTAGATCTTGTCTGAACCCACATGACTTCTTAACCTTCTTAGACCTGAGAAATATCATTACAGTTTAATACTATGCCAGGAGGCAAGAGTAAACCTGAACCTTAGCCCTTTGATGCAGGTCAAAGGAGTGATTTCCCTTCCTTTGGTATTTCTATACTAATGGCAACATACCAGTGTGGCAAGGAGCAGAGAAGGAATAGCAGTGGTGTGTTGACTCAAATCTTGTGTCAGTGTTCATGAAAGACCTACTTGGGCAAGATTTGGTTTTGTTGAATTGATTTTACTTTTTCAGGATTAGTCTTTTAAAGATAATTTGATTACTTTCACATATTCAAATTGAATCACTTTAGGTTAAGATGTTTTCATTTAACCAAACTACTTATTCTGAATTCTCTTAAACAAAGGTACATTTAGATGAAAAAGATCAGGGCCAGGATTTAGCTCAGTGGCACCGTGCCTGCTTCACAAGGTCCTGAGGTTGACCCTGGTACCAGAACAAAAAAAAGAAAAGAAAAGGAAAGAAAAGAAAAAGATCATCGCAGTAATAGTTTGACTAGCCAATCATTTTTTCAGTACTGGAATTGAACCCAGGGGTGCTAAATCCCTAGCCCTTTTTTATTTTTTATTCTGAGACAGGTCTCACAAAATTGGCCAGGCTGGCCTGACATTTTCAGTCCTCCAGCCTCAGTCTCCTGAGTAGTTGCGGTTACAGATATGCATCACCACTCATAGCTCCATCAGTTCTTTATAAACAAGTGTTAAAGATTATTTTACATAAACTTTAAAATCTTCAAAAGCTATACTTCTAATATGTATAAATCTTTCAGTTTTGTACTAGAATTCTCATCACTCATGTTTTCCAAACCCACAGAACTTCTATGTAGGATACAAATAAATAAAGATTTTATTATTATTTAATTTTATAAGTAGTAGTTAGTTTATATTCAGGAAGAAAAGATTCTTGTAATTGAAGCAAACATTAGAAATAATGTCATTTTAAATCTGAAGATGTTTTAGAATTATGACAGCCCACCCCTTGTTTTTTGGACTGAGGCTCCATGAGGCTAAATTGCTATGTGTTCTGCTGGGAATGCGACTACTTCCACCTAACTGGTTCTTGGAAATAAGAATGACAAAGATGTATTCTTGCCCATAAGGAATTTGCACTCTGGTTGGGAGCCAGGCATACACAAACTAAAATACAGTTTTGTAAACGGTGTGAGTGTAAGATCATCTGAGGGCCTTGGAAGCCCAGAGAGGAGGACTGTCCCTAGCCTGCAGGACTCAGGGAAGGCTGCTAAAGAAGAAATGAATCCACAGCTGAGATGGACATAGTGAAAAGGATGTGTCTTAGTTCTCCAGCTTATTGGAGATAGACAGGATTTATTATATCATTCATTCCTGTGTATTTTTAACTCTGATATAGTTCATGAAACATGAAGTATAGGGATTAGGTGGACAAATGGGAGAAAGGGCAATAGGTAGAAGAAGATTGTTTACACTCTCTTTCATATCACACTTTTTCTGCTGCTTTCTTATTTATATCCTTATCTGTAATGACAAGAATTTAAATATAAAACAAAGTACTCATTTTATGTAGATGTTGTATTTGAAATCAGAGTAGAAAGCAAAACAAAATATAATAATATTGGTGTAAAATTTTAAATAATTAATATTAAGAGTTGAACAAGCTACTAAGTAAGCAGTGTATATCGATAATATCAATCATAGATCAATAATAGTGTATATATATCCCATTGTACATATCTTTCTATCTCCAAAAACCAATCAACCTAGAAAAGTGATGAGAGTTCCATAAAGCTAAAATTCTTTGGTATTAAAATGATTTAATTAAATGATGCTAATAGTAGATACTAAGTAGTTGTTGTCAGTGAGCTTTATTGTTGAAGTTGTTCTGAAATACTTTTGTTTCAGTAAGTCAAGTAAGGAAAGCCCTGGCCTTTGTTAACTAGACTACTGCTCATCCTGTTTCTGCTCCACCTTTCAGAAGTCTGCTTCTAAAGCCTCCTTTCTACCCCCTACCCCAGTCTGCATCAGCTCTGAGTGGCAGGTGCCATAGCAAGGACCATGGGTGGGCTGCGCATGCGTCAGGGACTGGACATGCCTTACACCTGACCAACAGAAGCTGAGTCCTTG